CCCACCTTTTGTTTATACCTAGGTAATCACCATACTTAAATGATTCCTTATTCCTTTAAGAAGACGGTCACAATATTTTGATACTATGGCGATCTCGAAGGATGATGTCATTCGGAACTCCCTGTGAATGCACCGAAACTCGGACTCACTTTGTCAAATTCATTCTGAGTCATCACTGGGAACTTTCTGGCCTGCCTTAAGTTTATAGGTTTAATTGTGTTGTGATAATTTTTTACTGCGAAAGATTTTTTTTTCCAAAATAAGTGCCACAGACAGTAATTTTCATTGATCAAACCAGCGAAATCCAAAGGCAGATCTATCTGGTGTTGAGCTTTAGTTTTAGATTGGACATGCATAGGCGTCTGATCTTGGGGTGGGAGTGGGGGCTAGGGCGGAGGGTGTAGTTCCCTTTTTGCAAGGATAGACATTAAATAGGCATTGGAAAATGGGGTTTACTTTTTTTGATGGTTTAGCCTCCCTTTCAATTCGCCCCTTCCCTTTCCAATTGCCACCGACGCCTATGACAGGATAGGTTGCTTTAACTTAATTGATGTCATTTTTGTTGAGCAAAGATGAGATTATAATGCTAGTAAATGCGTACAGAGTAGAAATCAAAGTACTCAGAAGTACAGAGAGCCGGGCTCATTTACAGAGTAGAATGGATTTCTTACATGAATAACATTTATATTCTGATGAAAAAATTATTTTAAAACCATCAATATAAATGATAATTAAGACACTGACAGTGAGTTTTTCAATCCTAATACCACGGTCCGATTTTGGCAGAATCAGAATTAATCTGGTACCGCAGCTGAATGTAAACAAACAGGCCAGTCTGGTTCCCTCTCCTGCTTTACCTCGTATGTGTAGAGAACTACGGTAACACTGATTATCAAAAAATCCTTACGCTAATAAACTATGTTCTTTGACTTATGAAGTTTTCAAAGTCATTACTGCTAATGTTCATTTTATATAGATAAAACTTTGTTTTATTTTTGTTGCTTTATTTAGCGTTTGTATTATCTCAAAAGCGGTTGAGAGTAAGAACTATATTTTTGCACGTAACTTTAAAATGGCGACAATGGGGTTAACATCCTGCCTTGAACAGGATCATATAAGCCGGCAATTGCTCTTTGAGCAATAAGCCCGGCTAAAAATTATACAGGGAAATGGTTCTCCCCCATTAAAACTATAACTTCAATATATCTAGCGTGCCCTGGAACTTTTCTGCAGTTTCTTTTTCATTTCGCCTAAGGAAATACTGTATGGATCTCTCTCAATGAAATAAAGTCTTATTTAAAGTAACACAATGAGTCAAAATCATGTTTCTTTTGCGATATCTGTAGCATACAGAGAAAGACTTATGAAAATTTTTAATATATAGCTAAGATATGAAAATTAAATTGCAAGAACATAATGCACAAAATAAGTGCCGAAAAAAAGATTGTGTCTACCGTTTGTCTAGTTTTGTTGCTTTCGTGTATGTCAAGGTCACGCCACTTTTATTTTTAGCTCATGCAAACTTGAAAACAACATTCAAATGGAGCATGCAAAAGTGAGAAATATGTACTAACAACGTTTTAAAAAGGATTGTATCAATATTTTTTGTCTACTTACATTCATTCCTTGGTACTTTAGACTATGGAAACTATGGAAACTTTTTTGCGCACGCGTACAATAGGGAGGAAAAAGTATTTAGCAGTATAAATATTCGTTATGAGGCATTGAAATACTTTTTACTTTTCTCAATAAAAACAATTTTTAGGTTGTGAAAACTGTAATTTTCTGAAACCGAATACTTTTAGGAATTCAACAAAATTAATAAGGGTCATGCCAAAATTCCTCATTGGTCAATTTCCTCTTTGTATTACGTGTTACGTTTTTTTCTTTAAGTCATAATTTTGCAGGTTTTATTGTCGATACAGTGACCTGGTCAACAAATACATGTACAACCTATCATTTAGTCAAATTATGATCGAAAGACTTTTTTCATACAAATCGTTAGGTCATTATTTACTCACTGAAATATCTACAGATCGTTCTTTTATTCCCCCGATCATGACAAGGAGCACACGGTTGATGTGACAGGTTGGTAGGGGGTTTGCTTACTCATTTATATAAAGCATGTCACGGTAACTCAGTCAGTGGGGTGTTCTCTTCGTGATTGGAAGGTTATATATAACTATGTATGTTCGAACCTCGGCTGCGCTTGACCCACAATGTGGAAAATGCTAATCGAAAATCTACTTGATTTGGATCACTAGCTATACTTTTGATTGGATCATTCGGAATTTATGTCTGCACTTTTAGACATAAAGATGTTTTTTCTATACGTTTGATTTACAAGTAATAAATCTGCTTTAACTAAATATGAGACTTCTTTGCAAATGTATATCAAAGTTAAACATATTTGGTATAATCTATCCGTCCTTTAACATAGGTACATGGAGCGCGTTTTTCACGGGTCTGATGGCTATTTTTCGACTAATCATTCACTAAAATAAAGTGTGAATATAATTTTCATAAATAAAATATATTTTATGTTTCATGCAAATCTTGTAAATCTATATCAAACGTAAGCTATCAATTTGACCACAATGTCGTCTTTACATCCTGACAATAAAATAAAAAATGCATCAACTCCGATTTTCAAGATCTATTTTATGTTTCCGAAGAAAATATCTAGAAATTAACTTTGTTGCCATGGCAGCTATATTTTTTTTTTGAGTATACATATAGCCTTAATTATTGCACTAAGCAAACTGAGCGTTCCCTGGACTCCTCTTGCATTTCAACACGGACGAGTCATCTTTTGAAATAGGACTGGTGGTGTTATAAATGCGTAATTTTTTCTTCGTTGAACAAGTTTCTTTCCTCAAAGATTCATTTAAAACAGAATATATGATTCCTTGTTTCAAACTGTTAATGCATTTATTATAGAAAATACTAACACTGGAGGTCTATACAAATTAACACCAACACAGTAAACAATGCAAGTATTTAATTTTTTAATTTCAACAAAGGTGTAGATTTTAACTCGAATTTCTTCCATACAAACATGTCATTGATTGATAGAGCTCACTGCATGCATCGCTATGAAATTGACATTATTTGTTTGGCGAAGATTTTACTGTTGTTTTCTTTTGTTTCTGCTCAAAAGCAATTCTTCTTGGTTTATGCATTATGAATCCGTTACTTTGTTTTCATTTTTTATAACACCGCATGTTTCATCTATTTTTAAAGCGTTTTATAGGTCAGGGTCATATTATAGAGGTACCTGTACAATTCATCCCCAGAAGAAACCGGTCGACAAAATAAAGGTTTATTTTTTGTGTAGTACGTCATCAAAAAGTGGTGTAATGAGCCTCCTAAACAGACATGTATTCAAACACATACTACTCTTGTAAAAAGAGGCGCAGGGGCCACATCGCTCACCTGAGCAATTGGCTAGGAAAAAAGCACATATCAGATCCTATGAAATTTTAAAGAGGTTGTGTGTGTGTGTGTGGGGGGGGGGGGGGGGGGGGGGGGCTTGATTTGAACACACTAGAATTTGCATTTCCTGAGCATGATTCCCTATAAATATCATTCAGCATGGCTTTGAAGTACTTAAAAAAAGATTTTAAAAGGTTTCCCTAAATATTCCTTTGCAAAACTTTCATCAGCCATTTGGCCCCACCCTACCCCCAGGGGTCATCATTTGAAAAAACTTGAATCTACACTACCTAAGGATGATTCCACATAAGTTTAATCTTTCCTGGCCCAGTTGTTCTTGAGAAGAAGATTTTTCCTATATAACTTTGATCTGCCATTTTGGCCCCACCCTACCCTGGAGGTCATCATTTGAACAAACTTGAATCTACACTAACTAAAGATGATTCCGTATGAGTTTCATCTTTCCTGACCCAGTGGTTCTTGAGAAGAAGATTTTTAATGATTTTTCCAATATAAAACTTTGATCAGCCATTTTGGCCCCACCCTACCCCGTTGGGTCATCATTTGAACAAACTTGAAAGAAGGATATGTTGTTTCTTAAATAAGTGCTTTGACATCAGAAAAGAAAGTCAACAAGAGGCCCATGGGCCACATCGCTCACCCGAGTAACTTGGGTGATGCAGTTCTTTACCAGATTCCCCCTCTTGCTCTATCTATCATGCCCCCACTACCCCCTTCCCTTTTATGATTCTAACAATTTAATATCTACACTACCCAAGGATGCTTCCACTAAAGTTTCAGCTTCCCTGGCCAAGTGGTTCTTGAGAAGAAGATTTGTAAAGATTTGTTCTATATATTTCTATGTAAAACTTGGATTCCCTATTGTGGCCCCGCCCTACCCCCGGGGGTCATGATTTTTACAATTTAATATCTACACTACCCAAGGATGCCTTCACATAAGTTTCAGCTTTCCAGGCCCAGTGATTTTGAGAAGAAGATTTTTAGTGACCCCTCCCTATTTTTGTCTTTTCTTGATTATCTCCCCTTGTAAGGGGATTTGGTCCTTCATTTTGACAATTTAAACTCCCCTTTACCCAAGAATACTTTGTACCAAGTTTAGTTAAAATTGGCCCATTGGTTCTTCAGAAGTCAAAAATGTGAAAAGTTTACAGACGGACAGACAGACGGATGGATGACGGACAAAATGTGATCAGAAAAGCTCACTTGAGCCTTTGGCTCAGGTGAGCTTAAAATGAATATTAATATTGAGAAATACACAATTTTGTTCACCTCATATTTCTCACCTTGTATATGCTTGTATTAATTGTGTTAATTTATGTTATGTTACTGATGTTCATGACTGTATGCCGACATGGTAATTGTCAATAAATGAAGTGAACTGAATTGAATTTTGAATTGTTTTATGGACTTCTGATCATGATTGCTGTCCGTTAATATCTCCATATGTTACTTTTTAACTATTCTAACTACATACCAACTCAGTTTTTTGAGAACAAGATTTTAACATGTTGTTACCAAAACAAAGGACATTTTCAATTTTTCATTTATCCAACTTTTTTAATATATTCTGAATAAAGCATGAAATGCTTCTTTTTGTTCACTTTATCTTTTGTTTCTTTTCGTCTAAATGATGGACTGTAGGATATGTCCTTTGTTTTATCAAACATCTGCAGCTCTTTCAATATTTTATGAAAGTTGCAACTATGGGAAAAGTCTTTCAAAAGTGTATCATTTAATTTTGGGCCAAAAAACCGGTGATTGAGAACCATCCAAATTTGCAAAACAGCAGACAAGTTGAATCTCACTCCACTTTCATCCCACAATGATGCAGGTTGATGTCCACTACTTAACAATATGTCATTTTCATAATCATACATTACAATGTAATAATGGAGAGGAGTTAAAACCAATGATGGCACCAGTGTAGGACCACACAACCCTTCTCCATCTGTTAAAGCTACATTTCCTTCACAAAAAGAAACTGTAATAGCTTGACTGAGTATCTGTTCAGCACATTTTTCAAATATCAATTTTGCACCATTAACTTCACATCTGTCAGTCGAACTACAATTCTCCTGCAGGCAATCTTCTGTGAGAATTTCTTCATCCTCTTTCAATTCATCCTCAGGATCATCACTAATAAAGCAGAGTGGAACGTATGAAAGGCGTGGAGGAACCAAAACTACATCAGGATGACCATACCAAATTTCCTCACATCCTAATAAAAGAGAATTTTTTTTAATCAACAAATATGTACCCTGTGGCAATGTCAAGCATTACAACCCACAGGACGCAATACACAAATCATGTTCACTCTGAAATATTTTGAGGCTTGATCTGTTGATTGATTTTGGTGTGAAAGTAACTAGCTGCAAATCTGTAGCTCACTGGTCTGAAAGAAAAAATTGGGATGAAGGACCAAAGAGCTACAGTGCCACCCATTTAAACTAGAACTGTCTAAAAGGGATAAATACCCCCGCTGGGGTTGCCAATTCACAAATACATTTAATGGCTCTAAGAGGTGTTCACAATTTTCTTACAAAAATCAACAGTGAAAATATAATTGCTCATTATACGTTTAATGAATGAAACAAAGGTGCAACTAAATAAAACGTCAAAACTAATACATTGTAATTCCATTGTAACATTTCTATTTCATAGAAAAAAAAAACCCATTCCGTTCCGTTCACAAAATGTACCATTCCGTGCACAAAGCATACCGAACTGTACCGTTCAAGTGGTGTTGTAGCACAGTTTAAGGTCTGTATTATATCATAATTTTTTTTTGTTTAAATACTTAAATACACGTTAGAACAAAATATTTGTTTAAATAAAATTATAATACTTAAATGTCACTGGATGGAACATTATCAATATGAAAACATTATTAATTTCTGCTTTCCAATTTACTACACTTGACAAGTATGTATGCTTACCTATTCATAATTATCATAAGCAAGATTGTATTACAATTTTAATCATAAAACTGAATTTATAAATGTAATCAAATCACAATCCATGTTCACACAAAATACTGTGCGTAAAAGTACCCCAGATGTCATGTCTATAAATAGTAATACATATAACAATGTTACAATTGAATTCTAACAGTAAAAGAAATATATGCTGAGTACAAACAAGAGGCCCAAGGGCCTTGAATCGCTCTTCTGATAAATTGTACAATCTATCACTTCTATTAGAAGCCTCCAACTCTATTAGTATCATAAGACCCAAAATGCATCAAATTACAAAGTTTAATAATATTTAGCCAGTTAAGACTGAAGATATTATAATATAATGATAAAATATCTTAAGTAGGTCACAGTGACCTACCTTTTGATTGAAATTTTCTGAGGACTCAAGAATATTAATTGACAAAGACTGATGATTCTAATTAAATAAGTACCTGAGATATTCAAAAGTAGGTCACCATGACCTACTTTTTGGTCAACATTCCCTGAAAACCCAAGATGCATCATCTGACAAAGTTTGATGATTCTAGGCCAATTTGTACCAGAGATAATTAAATACAGCCATTAAATGTCAAAAGTAGGTCACGATGACCTACTTTTTGATCGACGTTATTCAAAAACTCATAATGCCTGAACTGACAAAATTTGATGATTCTAAGCCAATACTGTAAGTACCTGAGATATTCAAAATTAGGTCAACGTGACCTTCTTCTTGTTGGACATTCAATGAAACCCTAAGATGCCTCAACTGACAAAGTTTGATAATTCTGAGTCCACAAGTACCGGATATAATTAAATATAGCCGTAAAATGTCAAAAGTAGGTCACAGTGACCTATTTTTCGGCCGACGTTCTCCGAAGTAGGTCACAGTGACCTATTTTTTGGTCGACGTTCTCCGAAAACCCAAGGTGCCTAACCTGACAAAGTTTGATGATTCTAAGCTAATACATACCTGAGATATTCAAAAGTAGGTTACCATCATCTAATTTTTGGTCGATATTCTCCGAAAACCGAAGATGCCTCAACTGACAAAGTTTGATGATTCTTAGCCAATAAGTGCCCGAGATACTTAAATATAGCTATAAATTGTCAAAAGTAGGTCACTGTGACCTACTTTTTGGTCGACAATCTCTGAAAACCCAAGATGCATCAACTGACAAAGTTTGATGATTTTAGGTCAATAAGTACCAGAGAATCAGATACTTAATTATACTCACAAAATGTCAAAAGTAGGTCATCATGACCTACTTTTTGGTCATCACTCTCCGAAAACCCAAGATGCATCAACTCACAAAGTTTAATGATTCTAAGCCAATAAGTACTGGAGATACTTAAATAAAGCCATAAAATGTCAAAAGTAGGTCACCGTCTGAAGGTAATCAAAATATGCATTTTAAATAATTTGAAAACAAATGTCAGCAAAATTCAAAAAGTAGGTCACAGTGACCTACTTTTTTTTATGAATATGTTTTAAGGTCCCAGGATGCATTAAAGTACAAGATCTAAACCACCCAGTGTCTGAAATAATGGGATTTAATGTTTTTAAAAAGGTAAGTCATAAAGTTCAAAAAGTAGGTCACGGTGACCTACTTTTAAGTTGACATTGTTTAAGTTGACCCAAGATGCATCAACTTACAAAGTTTGATGATCATAGGCCATAAAGTGTCCAAAATATGCCTTCAAATCAATTTGAAAACAAATCCCCGCAAAATTTAAAAAGTAGGTCACCGTGACCTACTTCTGATTTAACATGATGTGAAGTTGTAAGATGCATCAGCTTACAAGATTTGATGATCCTAGTCCTTCTAGTAAGCAAAATATACACGTTTTTATTAATTGTAAATTTAGGTCAACTTTGAATTGACCTTGAGACCACGCTCTTTGCCCCAGGGTAATTCCCAAATTTTAATCTTCAACATATCCTGATACTTGTATGTAAGTTTGGTGAAAATCTGCCTTGTGGATATGGAGAAGAAGTATGGAGAATAAGATTTTTTAGCAACCAATACTTTTGGTTTTGTTTTCCTGATTTTCTCCCCTTGTTTAAGGGTCCCAACCATTATTTTAGTATAATTGGTAGCCCTTGGACCAAGGATACCCTGTGACAAATTTGGTACTGATTGGCCAAGGGGTTCTTGAGATATGGCCCATATTCTAAAAAGTTTACTTGACAGGAACTATTCCCCTCGGGCAAGCCCTCGGGGAATAGTTCCCTGTCCCGGGTTTGATAAAAGAGCTATCCCACTCACAACCAGTGGATAAGTGTTTTATTATACTGATGTATAATATAATTTCTGAGGTTTGAATTTTTTTTAAGAAAGATAATTCTGCAAGAATAATCTGAAATCCTGATGACGTCACAATGCTACTGATAATCAGAAGTCATTATGACATCATCAGTTTAAAGATTTATCGCTGGAAATCAAAATTTGCGGCAACAATTGCATGAAAATTTTCCAAGGATAACATACACCTACCGGTATTTACTGGCTATAAGGACAATAGCCAAGTTTATCATCCGCCAAGGCAGCAAACTATTTCCCGAAGCGCAGCCGGGGGAAATAGTTTGCTGTCGAGGGGGACGATAAACTTGCTGTTGTCCTCATAGTCAGTAAATAGGTGTTTTATTATACAGATGCTGACTTTACTTTTGTTACGTCATAATATATACGTCACAATCCGTATAAAATCAGAAGTTTTCCAAGATAAAAAGCAAGGGAAACAGAATGCTGCCAGTGAATAGTTTGATGACTATTTCACCATGGGCAGATAGCACAAAAAATATTTCACGGTAGGGGCTGTTTGGAAAAGATAGCATGTTTATTTGTAGTATTTTTATATAGAACAAATTGACAGAGGTATAATTATAACAAAAACTATACCCCGGGGTATAGCTTTGCCAGAGCTGCCAACATTCTGAAATGACAAATAGTAAGGCGGGTTCGAGAGACCGCCTAGGCACCCTGCCGCTGAAGATGTTTTGTAAAAGGACATACAATCTGAGGCTTGTTTTCATTTATTTTACTTTAAAAACATTGACAGGAATGTGATCGGCCTTCTAAAACTGTAAGGATGATACAAGCAATCATTATAAGGATTATGAATGTATTTAAAATAGTAGAAAGTATAAACTACCATCTATGAAAATTCCGGTAATATAAACTGAACTAGAAAAACCTAACTAGGAAGAATATAGAGAGAAATCGTAAGGCGTATTTTAGAGGCTGATTTCGTACGCCTTACGCCAAAATCGGAAGGGTTGGCAGCTCTGCTTTGCTATGCGTGGACTGAAAAGGATAGTTACTTTACCTTCTGAACTTTATCATGTTTATATAGGAAACATTTTAACAGAAGTATAATGAAGTACTACATTAACTATTTATAATTATATATCAAACAAAGACATTGGAAATGTAAATATTCATTGTTTAATGCAGTGCACAAATACTTACCAAGTCCTGTTTGTCCATAATATATAAGGGATGCACAATCTAATGGCTTCAGACATGGACATTTGACTGGTTGTCCTTCGTAGTCATTGCTTATAAGATATCTGTTACCATATACAAGGCGGGATAGAAGATGATTTGTCAATAAAACAGCAACAACAACTTCTGGCTGTTTGTCAAATGCATCTCCAAATGGATGTCTTTGCTTTAAACACATCTCATGGTGTTCTATAAATAAATTTAAATAATTATTTATAAATATGTTATAATTTATCTTTGTACCAGAAAACATGATAAAGTAATTAAGAGTCATTCTCTGTAAAAACCAAAGAATCCAAGGAGGCCGTAAAAATGAATGTCTCCGAAATACGTAATTTTTTGTATTTAGAGTGTACTCAGGTGTCTAACTGAGAAAACCACCTTAGTTCATGTTTCGGGGTGTCCGTTGCCATGGCAACCGTAACTAACACAAATATGGCCATTTTGACAGGTTCTATTTCATGAAATATAGCATTTTTAACCCCAATATTTCCTTTAAACACAAAAAATATGACCACTTTCAATTATATAATTTATTTTATGCATTCTTATATAATTAAAATAATTAAGAATTTAATCTTTTGCCTGAGGCGTTTCAAGCTGATAGAAGGCTAAAAATATCAAATTTCATGATTTTTTCAAAATGCAGAAAAATCCATTTTACCCTCTATTTCAATTACATTTATCTTTAAATTCCAAGATAGGTTTTTTAAACTTCTTGTTTATTCCAAATATCTATACTATAGTCTTTCATTTCATATAGATTCCAAACATGTGTTTTTCAGATAACTCGGGAAATATCAAAATGAAAATAACCCATAATCCCGAATTTCCTCAGATATGGATTGGAAAACTGCGTTATACATTGTATATGGTATATTTTGTAGAGTTTGTTTTTCTCTTTTGAGGACATTGTTTATGTAAAACAACCTTAACAGAGAATTAAATGATAAAAAATGAATGAAAATGTATCATTTTAGGGGCGGATAGCAACATAGCAGTGGTTAACAGGGCTCATGGGATTTTTTTTCATTTGAATTCATGTTTTTATCGGTTCAAAATCACTTTTGTGGCTAAATTTTAACAATACTGACGTGTATATTATTCATGCTACTAATCAATTCTTTAAATGAAATGTAGATATATTTAAGCAATCTCCCATGCAGAGTTGTCGTTCGTTCCTCTCTCAGACACCTCTGCAATGGGCTCACGTCAAGATTTTTGACATAACGTATAAAACTTGATATTTGAAGAATTGTTTCAATTCAAATCAATAGTTCTGAATTGATTTAGTAAATATCTATCTCAAAACTCAGACATAAGCATAGAAATTGAATTGTAATGAATTAAAACAAACGCACTATTTCTCGTGTTTAACACTGTGTATACGCGAGCCAACAACAGAGGTGAATGTATGAGCCGATGGTAGAGAGTGATATTTAAGATATAAAAGTAACACACAGATATTTCATTTTACCCCCCCCCCCCTTTTTTAATGAGGAAAAGGCTGGGGATTAATGACACCTGTTCTATGACTCAAACTTTATCTTCTTCAGCTATTAAACGTATTTGTTACAAATTTAGCAGAAAAAAAAGAGTCGATGAAAAGTTAATTTATTAACTCTATCACAACGTAAGGCTAAGGTCAAGAGTTCAAAGTTAACTGAAGAATATATACATTTAGTATAATTGCTTCTCCACATTTTCAGGAATTGATTGGAGATGACCTTAAGTCAGGATTTCTGATTACAGAAACAGAATGCTATAAAGTACAACATGTTTAATCCAAAATGGTTTAAATGGACTAAATAAACAATTGATAACTGAAAATAAATCTGAAAATTAAAAGATTATTATTTATTATTATTTTTTCAAAAAAAATATAAAAGATTATGGTGTGCAGAGAAAGTTCGGGCTAATTATTTTTTTTAAATAACTTTTTCAATTATCAATTTATATTAAAGCTCAAACATTATTTCATATACTTGTAATTGATTGATACACAATAAAGAATTTCAAAAATACATGTATGTATGTATACTGTTGAACACAAACCATTCACAGCAACATATCTAAATAATTTGATTATTGAGCTCATAAAATTATAATACCAGCAGAATAAGGACAACAAAAGTAAAATGAGGCCATACATGTAAGTAATAAGAGTTCCTGTCATTCAGATTTTCAACTTGATTGCAGGCTCGTAAGAGGCAATTTCAGTTGGAAGGGGGGGGGGGGGGGCACAACCATACATTCTCAGTGAAAACTACCAAAAATTTCTAGAAAGCAAAATAAGGACAAAAGATCATTAGACGTATTTTCTGAGGGGGCACAAGCATAGAGTAGCTATGTTTATTATAGAATTTTATATAGTGGTGTTCCAATCATCGATTATAATCGAAAATCAGTCGATTACTGACATAATCCAACCAATCGATTGCATTTTTAAAATTCTGATTAATCGGTTTATAATTTTATTTTACAAGCCATATAGTTTTTAGCCATAATTTTCTATCCTCAGCATTGCTTCTGACTTATTTGTGTAACGTAACAGTGCAGATAAACAAACTCTTGCATTTCTACCCAGATAACAAAGCATGTTTCTGGGCATAGGCATACTTTTACTTCTATAAAATGAACAAATAACAAACTGGATCACCAAAGTGAGTCGTCATTTACCCATTCTTACCATTTACTTGTTTAAATTGATATACTTTTTACGTGTCCGATTATAATCGATAATTAGTTAGTTAGAGGAACCCAATCATCGATTATGAAATTCTTACCGATTCCCATCACTAATTCTATATATTGGCAAAATATTAGGGGGGGGGGCAAATGTGGTCATATTGTGAAAAATAATTATATATTTTCTATGAAATACCCAAGAGCCATTAGCAGGAATAGTAGGGCAATGACATACTTAAGTGAATAATTACATAGATGTACAATAGGTGGTTTTTCACTTTTATCAGTTAATATTTTTGTCATCCAAGTAAACGTTATCCTTAAGCCTTGAAAATAATAATAGACACTTTTGACATAGATTTCTTTAATTTTTTTGTCAATTTAATAAAAATTCAATAATTGTAACAAAGGATGGAATTATCATTTTACATGAGACTACTGTTTATACACTTTTTATCTTTTATTTAAGAATGTACATTATTAAATTCTTTTTTTTAAATTATTTGAAGCATATTCATGGTAGTGCATAGTGGACCCATGTTATTATGCATGAATAACTTCAGGACAAGTGGTCAAAACTTCCTTCAGGTATAATACTATAAGCAAGACTAGGATTTTCTTCAGATACTGTAAGACTTCACTATTTCTTTGATGTTCTTTGGGAGAATAACAGCAATGTTTGTCATTATATTGTTGTAGTATAATATAGCAGGCTTAGTGAAGGTGTCCCGACGGTATCTCCCATTCTCTGAAAACTCTCACTAATTTTCATCAGATACTCATTCATTTGCTGAATGTCATGACTGGTCATGACTATATGTAAAACTCTGGCTTCTTGAGTTCTGTAATAGACAATACAAGTATTCAGATTTACCAGGTAGATAATACAAGACTTAAGTTAACCAGAAATCTCTGTCAAGACTGTAGCTCTACTGGTTTGTACTGATAATAAAGAAAGAGAAAACTAGCAGTTGGGACATTTAAAAAAGCAATCAATAGAATAATGACAAAAACAGATACACAGAATTATTTATCTTATTATAGTTTACTTGTGTGCCAAGTTATATTGAAATCAGACCAAAACTGTAGGAGGAGTAGCATTTTGAAAAACTATTTACAGACGGACAGACATACAGACAGACAAACAGAAGACGGACACATGACTATCGCATAAGCTCTTCTGGTCTTTGACCAGTAGAGCTAAAAATGATTAAAGGAACCAGTTACACTTGTACATGTAATAGGTCATACATCCTCTCTACACCAGTGTAAAATGATTTTTGGACTTTGCGAAAATTATATTGAATAAAGATGTAAATAATAAGCTTCTCTATTTCATTTTCAATACATAATACATGGCATTTAACCCCAGGAAAAAAATGTTCAAACACAACACAGTATCAGTAGAAATAATTGCTATTTCCTTCTATGGAGAAGATACATGTAAACAACATGTTTATAATTTAGAATTTAAACTATCTTGCCCTTTTAAAATGTTAAGAATACTTGATTTGATTATAAACTAAGTAATATAGTGTAAATGTATATTTATTGGCATTTAAATCTAAGGGCAGATAAATAGAACAGAATCGTAACTCTTTAGTGTTCAATGTAGAGAGGTTTTATAAGGAAAGTGGTACAAACTTTTGTCAAAAATTTTGAAAATAACAACTTGGGTCATGTTTTAATGAATAAAATGAATAAGTTTTACAGTGTAGTTTTTTTTAATTTCTTATTCAAAGTTGCACAAAAAATGAATTTGAAGTAAAAAATTTTTGTATAGAATAATTAGGATGATTTCAGATGGGTAAAAATTGGAACATCACAGAACGTTTACATGCCTTGAAAAGTGGGTCAATAACAGTAGTTAATGTATATATGGAACATGAAAGCTGTATCCTCTATCCTTCAAAATTTATTACCAATGTCTAATTTCTTGAAAGATATAGAAGTCAAGGCTAATGGGTCAAAATTATAGTACATGGACACTATACCTCTTTATAATTTGGTTTTAATACGATGTTGAAGGCTCCATGAATGATCTAGATATCTTCCCCTTCCTTGTGATGCCCCTCACTTGGTCACACAGCAGCATGCTACAATAAATTGTATATTTTCATAAAAATAATTCAATTCCTTACAGGTACTAATTAAAGCATAATTATATAAGAATGAATTGTTAATTTTTTTTTGCCATTCATCACATATTTAACGGTACTAAGTCTTTTTATTTAGTTTTGTATGTTGACAGGTCTAAAATAAATGTGTACAATAATTCAAATTTGGAGAAACTTTTTAATTAATATCTTGTTAATCTTTAAATGCATACATCATTATAGAGTGTTCAAGATGAACAAGGAAAATGAAATTTACAAGGTCAAGACAAAAGATTATTTCTTATTCTACCCACATAGCTATTAATAGCTACAATGTACATGTATGTAGGTTTAAGCTACCCAAAGTAGCTATTTTACCCACTTCTAAGACCTACACATGTAGATAGAAATGCTTTAGTATAGTCTTTGGACTGTACCTTTTTACATTCATTTCGATTTAATTCTTTTTCAATAATTTCATCTACTCATAACTCTACGAACAAATATTATTATATTGTGTATCAGAAATTGTAGTTACTTACGTGTACATGCATGGTGTATAACACTGGTAGCGTTGCACCAGCTTGACCAATCAAATGACCTGCTTCCAAATTTTCACATGTTCTATTTGGAGGGGAATTCATAGTCCATCTCCTCTGGTGTTTTCAATATGCAGGTGTGAACTTAGAAGATTTGGAATTTGACAAAACTTCCTTCTTCACCTCTTTGTATTTTATTTTGAAGAAAAGTTAAAATAACGTCCACATTTGATAGTCATTCACTGTATTTACTAAATATAATTTTGCAAGTGTAACACATGCATGGCATACGACCTACTTTAGACAATACATGGCCATTGCTAAAACTCACGAGTTGTTGAATGTCTTTAGAATAAACAATATCACATCTGCCAAGGAAGCTATACTGTATAATCTAAGCAGTTTCGTATAAAAATATCAGTAAAACACATCGTTTGTGAAAAGGAACTCCAAACCGGCAAAACGTCATGCTTACAAATACTTTTGTTTTTACCTAATTCTTTCACTGTCGGAACTAGAGAGTTCTACAAAGGGAGATAATATTTTTGTGAAATGCTAGTTTTTTTAAATTTTCAAATGCATTTTATTTTTTTAAAACAAAAAACACACATCCAGAATAATTATGAATAAATAATCAAGTATGTTTGCTTTCAAAATATTGTTGATATTTTATAAACCTATCTTGGGATTTTTTATAAAATGGCACTGAAAGTATGGTTATTTAGTGTGTTTGTTATGGGTTAAAAATAGGAGGAAATTAAATTTCTTTAAAATAAAAAGGGGAGTTAGTGATGAAGCAAAATAATTTTTTATCTTTACTTCACACCTTGTTTTCACAATTTAATGCACTTAATCCAACCATAGTGCATTTCTTATTTAGAATTTTTTATGTCAAATTAGGAGAAAACTGACCTTTTCAAACATGGGGGTAGCCACAAAATGTGTTAGGGGGCCATAACCTGGAGGATAGGTCACATCTCAAAATTTTAAGTATACCTAATTAATCTCATACACATTCATATTTTTTTCATATATGTTTTATTAAAATCTGTGATATTCGTTTGAACGGCATCTGTGGTCCTTACAGAGAATGACTCTTAAGACACAAACTTGATTTATACCCTTTAATCCCTATTAATCATCCCTTCCCCCTATAAGCCCCCCCTCCACCTCTCTCTCTCCCATCTTGGTCTTATTCAATTGTTGGGAAATAAGGAGCCCCTGTGCTGTTATTAAAGTCATCTAAAATATCAAAATACCTCCATATTTTTAAGAAAGTACAAATGAAACTTGGTTATAGGGTAACTCTTAGGCATAGTATTACTGAAAGTCAAATATGTTTAGAATGATGACCTTATCATTATGTATTTCTGAAAGTGAAAGTTACCTAAAAAATTGGGTCACTGTCGTTTTGCCCCAAAACCTGAATGCTCCATGATTGAGCACCCCAAAGATTTTTACCAGTGCTGCGCCCAGGTACAAATTTGAGCACCCCAAATTTTAATCACCAGCGCCCCAAATATAATTCACGAGCGCCCCGAATTAGCATTTGGAACACCCCAAGCTTTATAAATTAGTAAAGAACGAAAGTATTGTTTTAACAAAAATAAACTGATATGAACAAATTACAATTCACGAGCGCCCCAAATTATATTTATCAAGAGAGTCTCAAATCTAGACAGTCAAGAGGTCATAGATGTAAGTTTGGATAAACGTACTGATAAATGTTTGACATAATTTCTCAGTGACGTCATAATGGTCGACACCCGTTCAGTGGATTACATACATGCCGTTGGGTTTGAAAAATAATGTATTTCACACATTAAAAGTCACAATCAGGCAAATATTAAATATGAATAATTTTTGTGTTTGTGTTTTTATGGACAGTCCCATTTCTCTAAGGTCTATCCTACTAATTTGTCACTTATTTTCCTCGCAATGTTTGTTTGCGTAATTTAACTTTGCAACGTCATTTGACGTCACAAATGGCTCTTACATCTAATAACCATGGCAGTTTTGAAGGGCGCTAAATTCACATTAAAGATCAACGAAATAAGCAACTGTGAAGAAGTAAAAACAGAGTGTAAATATAAGCATTGAATTGAGATTTTTTGATGTCTTTGGTCCTATAACACACCTGGTCATGTTGACAAATTATCATTCCGCGCGTTAGTGGTTTTACAAGATCTGAAAAGGAATCTTCTCAGAAGTTTGTTTTCAATTAAATTACATGTACTCAAACTTGCACATTTTTGTTAATAGCGAGCGCAGCGAGGCGGCGTGAAGCGCCGTTCGCGTAGCGAGCTCAATAGACTAACGTGTACGACCGGAGGAAATTCGGGTTGAAATCTGCACATTGTTCCGAGAAATTTTTATCTCACCGCGTGAAAAAATTCCAAACTCCCAGTAATCCTTTGCGGTGCATAGCAACATAGTGGCTCAAACATTAACCCTTTCACGATAACTGCGGTACTACTCTTTTGCAGGGCAAAATGGTATAATTTGGCGAAATATGACTTAAATGTAATTGTCTTATATCGTCATTTAATTATCTATTAACAAAAACTTCGCCAAACGTTATTTTTTGCCCTGCAAAAGAGTAGTTCTGCAGTTATCGTAAAGGGGCTAATAGCAACAACTTACTTGAAAAAAATTACAAAGAATGATTTAATGCAATCTCCATGCCACAAAACTATCGTTTGCTTCCTAAGTCAACAGGACTTTTTATCTGACGTCATACTTTCGTCAAAACGGCTCGGGTATTTCCGATTTTGTCGGAAACTTCCGAAAAGTTCGGAATCTCGATCCCGATGCCGAGGAAGTGATTGAAACTGAGGATAGCTGATAGGCAGTGCAAGTACATGTAAAAGCTGTGTAAAGGTTTTTGATAGTAAATAACTGCGCTCGCCCCAACGGTCGCACCGTAGAACGTATTAATATATAGCAGAATCTAATTCTGTTGAAGCATGACTATGATACTGTGCGCTGAAAGAAATGTTTTGAGTATAGGTCAAATTTCCTCTAAAAAAGATTGCCTACGGAAAATGATGTACACTATCCTTGCCCCCAAGCACTAATAATTAAATATTTCAAAACTATTTAAATAGGCTATTCAAGTAAAATCTCAGAGCTTAATAGTTACTCACCTAAGTCTATGAGGAAATCTCTCAAGGCAGAAAGGGCATAGAAATAACTCCTTTCATTCCCTGTGGGCAAGTCGAAGAATCCAACACCAACATTGCCCACAGATCGACGCAATGCATCAAATCCTTGTGAATAAATATTCGAAAAATTCTCACACAGCACTAAGTCATTGTTGTCTTTGACGGTTATCAATTCATACTCAAGATGCGCTCTTGAAAAACTGTCACCTATACTGCAACGTTTAATCTTCAGTGGTGCGAGCTGCAAGTCCCTGTAGTTCTCTAAGGCTGAATTAATTAAAGAAGTCAGTGATGCCGGAGGCTTTGACGACCAAAATCTCTTAGTTAAGATCCGTTGCCTAAATACAGATGTGATTTCCAAGCGTAAACATTTTCGTAAAGCATCCATGGTCAATGTGAAGAGGCTGTTTACTGTTTACACCAGAAATCAGGCGCCATTACTAGTTTACCGTACACCACGCCCGATCTAAATTCGAAGCGAGCTGTTTGTCAATATAGATGATATTAAAATAATTTATTATAATTTCAGCAATAATATTTGTTTTACAATGATATATGTCAAATATTATGTAATAAGTATTTAGCAAAAAATGTAAAGACGTTAGCCATTTTTTTTTTATTTTTGAGATTTTAGAGAAATTCTGAACTTAGAGATATAAAAATATCCAAAAGCTTTAACAAAGCAACAATAGTAATAATAAATAGTAATGATAATTAATTAATAATTACTTATATGTTACAAAGAGAACAAAAAAATAAATAAGTTTCAAAATATGAAAACACTGAACTTATTTTTGAGATTTCAGACAAATTCTGAATTTAGAGATATAAAATAATAAAAATATGAAATTCAAAGGTTCAAAGCAACAATAATAATTAAAAATAAAAATAATTACTTATATGTTACAAAGAGAACAAAAAATAAATCAATGTCAAAAGATGAAAATACTGAAATCTGGAAAGAAATAGTAAATTAAAAGAATATATCAATTTTCAAATATATAGATATATTATTTCAAAGTAACCTTTTTCTGTTCTTTTCTTAAAAAAAAAAATGAGATGTTTTAAATATTTTACATCAGTCGTTTACATTTTGAGTTGTCTTTAAATTAAAACAAATATTAAATAAAAGAAAAAAAAAAAAAAAGCAAAGAAAATAAAAAAAAAAAAAATAATAAAAAAAAAAAATAAAAAAAATAAAATAAAATAAAAAAACCTAAAACCACACACACACACCACAAAATAAAATAACAGAAGTTTTGATTGAATTTTAATTATGAAAAAATCTCAGTTTGGACTGGTTGAGGAGAGTGAACTGAAAATCTTTGATCATCTCCAAGCATATACATGTAACTTTATATTTATTTTTTCATATCGACAACATGCAAGTTACCAATCTAATAAAGAAATATAATTTAAAAACGGTTAAATTTACATACTAACGCGCGTATATCTGACATCGTAGATGGAAGATGAAACATAGTTATGTAAACATGCGACCTATTAATGTCAACATGCAAGATAAATATACGTAGAAACGCAACTTATTTATGTCAACATGAAAGATAAATATGTCAGCATGCAACGTATTTATGTCAACATGCAACTTATTTATATCAATATGCAACTTATTTATGTCAACATGCAAGATAATTATGTCAACATGCAAGATACATATGTTGACATGAAAATTTATATCTTACGTTTTCAAATAAATAGGTCCAATGATGACATAAATAAGTAGCAAGTTAATATAATTAAGTCACATGTTGACATAAATAAGTACATGTAGCATGTAGCATGTTAACATAATTATCATGCATGTCAACATAAATAAGTCGCATGTTGACATAATTATCTTGCATGTTGACATATATAAGTCGCATGTCTACATATTTATCTTGCATCTAAGATGTCAGATACAGTAAGTAAATTAGACTATTTTAAAATAATATTTTCTTATTAGATTGGTAACTTGCTTGTGACATAATTAACTTGCATGCTGACATTAATATGTTGCATGTCTACATAATTATGTTGCATGTTAACATAATCTATCTTGCAAGTAGGGGACAGAAATATGCCACCATACAATTGCAAATATTTAACCTTTATTTTTCACTAAATGTATATAAAAATCACAAAAAAAGAAGGCCTTAAGGTTTATATATACATGAAATATACTGACATTGTAATACAATTTAAACACCAACAAGCGAAGCTAAACACTGCATAAAAAGCGCATTAGCCAAAGGGTGAATTGCCTTAAACAAATTATACTTGTGCTTAAAGTGACTCAAGTTGAATTCTAGAAAACTTCCAAAGATTCAAAGTTTTATACTAAAATCAATCAACAATTCTCGATAAGCGGTATACTTAACGTCAACTATCAATGTGCACGTAATTAAGGATTATTTTTTACATATGGATAAAGAAAACAATATTTAAATTTCAATTGATTGATATTTTATTTGTACAAATTTCATCTTCAATTACAAAAGTACTTTGAGATTGCTATAGTAAATTAAATCCATAATTCTTAGAACAAAAAAGTATAGTCCTGTCTAACGCAACATGAACAAGGAAACAAATCTTAAGTCTGAATATATAAACGGTGTTTGAAGAAAGGGGCAAAATTAACATAAGAATATATAGTGCAATGGATTGATAAGGTATCTGATTAAAAAGTTTTTCATTTAAAGGATTTTCGTATGTGACTGATTTCACTGATTCTACTTTTTTGACACAGATATGGGTAATAATAATTACACCTGATATCATGCCACTTCCAATTGTCAGCCTTTTGTGCTACAACACAATTCTCCTTTCTTCCTTGAACTCCTGGCTGCCCATCTGCCCAGTTGCCCACCTCCACTTTGGAGCCATTTGATTCGTATACAAAGACACCTTCTTGAAGAATATCAGTCACCCCAATCCATGTAAAATTATAGTCTTTAAAAGAAACAATTGTAACGTGTAACCTAAGGGTCCGTTTTTAGGAGATACAGGGTCCAATATATATAAATGAACGTTTCCTATGGCTCTATCTGAACCTATAATTATTCTGGGAATCAATATTATATACAACAATGATTATTTATTATTTTCATTGGGATCCTTGTCCTTTTTTGTAAACAGCGGGATCTACAAGCCGAGGTTCTCTTTTAACAAGTACAAAATATATGACTGGGTTCCCTGCACCTGGTTCCGTAACCAAGTTCTTATTGTAATGAGTGCTCGGTACCTCACCCTTATTCAGGACTACTATACCTTGCGCTACACTACAATTTCTTGGCTTACCATTTACCGGCGCTCTGTACCCTAGCCCTACTTTTATTTCACTATTTTAATTCTTCTGTTCTAAACTTAACTATTATCTTCTCTTCGACTTCCCACTTCTTCTTTTACGGGTTTCAGAATGAGAAAGACTGCCTCTGCAGTCATTTATATAGCAAAGGGCCATACCATTCAAACAGGGGTGAACAGGCTCCTGGACTTTCCATTATTCCAGGTCACACCAACGTTTGAATGGCATAGGCCTTTTCATTACTCATTACACAATAAAATTATAATGTCATAATTATTTGACTTATTTGTCCATTTTTATTTGACTGATAAATATTAATGTATGCATCAGTATTTTACTTAAATGACTACTGCCTGACAACAATGTGTATGAGCTTTGTAAAGTAACAATATATACTACATGTATTTCAAAAATTATTTTGCGATCACTGATCAACAATATCTAAAATATATTTACAATATATTATACAATTAATTACCCCTTGTGAGTTCAACATGGTGAAATAAGGACCCGAGACCTGGCCCACGAGATGACCTGTCCTGACCGAGGCCGCGTAGCGGCCGAGGTCAGGGCAGGTCATGGAGTGGGCCAGGTCTCGGGTCCTTATTTCACCATGTTGAACTCACTAGGGGTAATTAATTGTTTTATTATACCGATATATATTGAAAAGTGTGAATTTCTAACCGTTATCCATTCTTTCTTTGATCGGGATCGGGATTCGCTACAGTCCGAATAACGAAGTTGTTTACATTGACGTCTGCAAGTCGTGTAAGTTTTTGCATCATGATTTACTGATTAAAACAATATTTAGTTGATAGCGACATACATTGTTATATCTATCGATTACTTTTCCTCTACACAATCAAAATCTAACATTGAATTCAACTCTTTAAAGAGCCGCCTCTACATTCTGTTGAACTGATATGTTGAAACGATAGTATTCATAATATTGTAACGATAAAATTTTACCGTATTCTGTATGGTAGCTATGGAACATGATTTTTAAAAGCACTTCTCAGATTAAAAAACAATGCTTTATATTTAAGAGCATTCAAAACCATTTCCAAAACAGTTTCATTTTTTAAAATCGGTTGAAAAATAAAGAAGTTATGATAATTTTTTTTTTTTATGTTTTCACATGACTTGAAACAAAAATTGTTGCCATTTAAAAAAAAAAAATCAAAGGGACAAAATCTATTAAGCTGCTGTTCTTCATTTAATGCAAAGTTCTTTACAATAACTACATGAACAAAAAAATATGTATTTAAATTGTTTCCTAGTGTATATTATATATTTATATCATGAAAATCAAATATTGTACGGTTGCCAGAACTTTAAAGTTTGAAATGTAGTAACCGTTTTCACCTTCTTTTTCATTTTATGCGAGATAGAAACTTAAAACATATCATGATCAGATATTTTGTAATTACATGATTTATTTGTATTCATGCATGACTCAATTCTAAGTCCAATAATTTCTCATTAACCTACTTTAAATATACACTACATATGTTGTTCCTCTGATAGTCTGTTATGTGCAAAGTTCTCCTTGATTAATTGCACTGTAATTTTTAAATTAAATTTGAATTATTGTTGATATATTTTTATGAAGTAAATCAAATTGATCTGTACTAGTGTAGTTTGATATGGATAAGCTTGGCTTGAAAAGGGGGGGGGTGACGATCTTCATGTGTAAATGGAATTATCAAGTAACTTATCATTTCTTGAGTGTGTATATGTGTATTTAGAAGGCCACCTGTAATTTCCAATGAAATTCAATATAAAAAGTGAAAAGCCGACACTGTTATATGCTGAATACCCCCCCCCCTTCTGGTATGATCATCACCATTGTACGTCACCTAACACAGTCAAATAAACTAAATTGTTGAAAGCAAGATATTCACATGGTGTGTGACCATTTTGCACCCTGCAATTTAATAGGATCCTGACAGCAAAGGGTAAATAACCTTATCAGGCTAAAATAGTCCATGTCATAAAACATGATTTGGTGTTGAATACAAGGATTTAAAATAATTTTTAAGTAAAATTCTCATAGAAATTACTTTACTGTTTCATAAAAATCAGGTCTTTTGGGTGTATATTCTGAAATTCATTTTTTTCTCAAGAAAGAAATATTTCATTATTATTTTTTTCCCATGAAAATGATGCAATTAATTGATTTTCATCGATATACACTTGCAGTAATACTTCAAGAAGGTTTCTGAAAAACTTTCAAGACTCTAAATGTCATCGTCTCACTGTATAAGTCCGTAACACACGTCCACCCTATTGTTTATTTTTTACACCATTTTTTGACAACAAAATTTTGTCAAATTTTGGAGTTATTGCCCTTTGCTTTTCCATTGCTACTGTATGGTAATCATAATGCAAATCAGACCAAAAACATGTTTTTAGCTCACCTGAGCCGAAGGCTCAAGTGAGCTTTTCTGATCACACTTTGTCCGGCGTCCGTCTGTCCGTCTGTCTGTCTGTCTGTCTGTCCGTAAACTTTTCACATTTTCGACTTCTTCTCAAGAACCGTTGGTCCAATTTCAACCAAACTTGCCACAAAGCATCCTTGGGTTAAGGGAATTCAAGTTTGTTCAAATGAAGGGCCACGCCTTTTTCCAAGGGGAGATAATTACGAATTAGAGAAAAATTAATGGCATTTTTAAAAAATCTTCTTCTCAAGAACCACTGGGCCAGGAAAGATGAAACTTATGTGGAATGATCCTCAGGTAGTGTAGATTCAAGTTTGTTCAAATCATGACCCCCGGGGCTAGGGTGGGGCCAAAATGGCCGACCAAAGTTTTACATAGGAATATAAAGGAAAAATCTTTATAAATCTTCTTCTCAAGAACCACTGGTCCAGGGAAGATGAAACTCACATGGAATCATCCTCAGGTAGTGTAGATTCAAGTTTGTTCAAATCATGACCCCCCAGGCTAGGAGGGGGCCAAAATGGCCGACCCAAGTTTAACATAGGAAAATATAGGAAAAATCTTTAAAAATCTTCTTCTCAAGAACCACTGGGCCAGGAAAGATGAAACTCATGTGGAATCATCCTCAGGTAGTGTAGATTCAAGTTTGTTCAAATCATGACCCCCGGGGCTAGGGTGGGGCCAAAATGGCCGACCCAAGTTTTACATAGGAATATATAGGAAAATCTTTAAAAATCTTCTTCTCAAGAATCACTGGGCCAGGAAAGATGAAACTCATGTGGAAGCATCCTCAGGTAGTGTAGATTCTAGTTAGTTCAAATCATGACCCCCAGGGCTAGGGTGGGGCCAAAATGGCTGACCCAAGTTTTACATAGGGATTTATAGGGAAACCTTTTAAAATCATTTTTTCAAGTACTTCAAAGCTATGATTAGTGTCATATAATATTAATATGGAATCATCTTCAGGTAGTGTAGATTCTAGTTTGTTCAAATCAACCCCCCACCCCCCCCCCCCACCCCACCCCCCACCCCCGTAAACTTTCAGTTCTGATCTGATATGTGCTTTTTTCTAGCCAATGTTCTCAGGTGAGCGTTGTGGCCCCTGGGCCTCTTGTTCGAATAATTATTATTTTATGCATTAACTTTACTCAAAAACGAATTTTTGATTAAGCGGTCATTTTTAGCGGTCATTAAAAATAATGACCGGGTCATTATCATTGATTATATCCCACGTGCAATGATTCCTAGGTCAGTGTTGCTGTAAACCGTACTATTTGGAGTCATTGTTGTGTTTTAAAGTTTTCTTTCCAGCCAATCAAATTCGAGTATTATCAATAGAGGTATAATAAATTACTATATATGTTTCCACTCTTTGGTTTATCGTCTTTGTTATAACAGCTTTTGTTACATTTGGATTTAACGTAAAAAAAATAATAAGGATTATAAAATAAAAGTAAGATCTCCATTCAAGGAAGATATGTATAGCAAAATAGAACATAAAATATATATTTATATTAAGTTTCAAACAATATTAGGGGATTGTCCGATGTTTTAAACCATTATCGTGGTGCGTATTCACATTGTTTACACTAAGAAGAGTTAACAATGCTAAGTATGTGACTAGTGTTTTGAAAAATTACCTCGTTTAACTAACTCCAATTCAATTGCTATCCTGTCCTTCACGTCTATATTTTCAAGAAGATTTCCACCAATATTTTTGCAGCTGCTCTGAAAGTAGATTTTACGATAATTATATTTTAGAAATTAGTCTTTTAATTTAAAAAAAAAACATTGCGGAAAAACATTGTCTACCACACGTTATTTAGCATAGTTAATTCAAAATCTCTAAGAAAAAAGGAGTAAAGCACAGGTGCATGCCTTTTCCTTCAACTCGGCATTGAGATATAACTAGAGACAGTGTAAAAAATTAATAGAAATTACTTCCATTCATTTATCATCTCGGTACATACAAAACACTTATGACACACCTCAGTCTCAGATTTTGATATTTTACTAACTGTATGACAAAAAGAAAAACAAGGGTTCGATTTCAACTTTCTCATTTTCAACTCACCTGACTTGAAAGTAATATTCCGCTATCTCATGGCAATTGTGAGTCCAAACTTATTAGATATTAAATATTCCCGTGTAAAGTAAGCATTTGATCGATAGAATGACCTTTTCAGCACATTTAACCTTTTTGTGCAGTATTTCAGCTATCATTTTGTTTGCGGGCGTGATCTGTCGGCAGGGGATGATCACTCCTTCTTGGTACCTGGCCTGAGGCCATAAAGGTTAGTTCCATTGATAAAAGTGAGACTGAGGTCAAAAGTGAGTCCTCAGGCATGATCCCAACTCTGATGTTTTGGAGGTCCATGATTGCTCTGCTCCAACTCTGTAATGTTACATTTTAAATGAACTTCTGATCTTGAATACTATTCGTTATCTGCATATGTTTCATGTTTTATAGCAAATGATCGGTTATTCTATCTCTTGAATACATAGGTTTAGGCAGGTGTGCGCGGTTAACAGGGATGATTGATCACTTAAAGCACTGATTGCACATATTGAATTTTAGGAGTCAGCTTTTTGTGCCATATTCCTAGATTAGCATTAATCTTTCTTCTTCGGATTGATCACTACATATATTTGTTTTCCTCACCATGTTCATAACCTGCCCTTGCCCTCCTACGTATCAGAGTAAAATTATGGGGGCGGTAGGAAGGTTGGAAAATATTTATTGTTGAACAATTTTAAAGCATATGTTTATTTAGAAAAATAGCCTTTTGGATTGTAAAAAATAATTTCAGTTGGGCCATTTTAGTCGGTCTGGGAGAGGGCAACCAATGCAATTTCTTTAAAACCGGTCATTTCTTATAGGCATAGTCATAGCTTGTAGGTATGGTCATAGCTTATAGGTACGGTCATTTCTTATAGGTATAGTCTTAGCTTATAGGTATGGTCATAGCTTATAGGTATATAAACACATTTTGCTTACCACAGCTTTATGGAAAGTCAGGGCATTGTTTGAAAATAGGTAACTTTTGGTTTCTAAGTGAATCCATTCTCCGCTTAGTTCTGTTGATTATAAAAAAATATGGTAATAAAACAGCATTATCCGTGATATTTTTTTCAAAATTATTTTTGCTATACCAAACTGATGTGAAATTTTATTTCCTAAATGCAGTTAAATAAAAAGAGACGCCTTAAAGCTTACGGTTCAGTAGGTTCTGTTGTTCTTTTAGTTTGTCAGATTCTTGCTTCAGGATTTCTTCTTGTTCTGTCAAGAGAAGAAAAGATTATTTCTTTAAGTTTACTCGACTTTTCGTATTCAATTCTTTATCTTTTCTAGAAGATAACGTGTATTTCATGCATCGATCTCTTTGAAATTCGTCTGATATTATAAAAGTACAATGTCTATATAAATATAACTCACGACTTATATTTTGAAGTTTTTCCTGTACATATCCCTCCTGCTGTTTGAACAGCAAATCTCGATCTATAAGTCACCAAAAGCAAATGAGAAAATAAGTGAAGAAATTTATGGATACATAAAGCATATAAATACTACTCTACCTATAGTTATAATAAAAATAATAATAGAAAATAAAAAATGAATTTACAGACTAAATAAAAATGAGTTTACTGTATACAGGGTTATTTTCATTCCATGTTATTTTCGCACTTTTGAACTCGTAAACAATTTTGCCCCCTCTAAAATTTGCTCTGTCAAGGTTCTGTTTAAGAAATTTTGAGGCAAAATTTGAATTCGCCCCGTTTTAAATTCACCCAATCAAGAAGAGGACAAATGGGGCGAAATTAAAACGTGGGCGAAAATTTCCCTATATACAGTACCTCAATACACCATGACAAACTTTTTCTAGGAGATTGCTACTTATTATATTAGTAATTATTTTATTTAAATACTTTTATGAGAAGTTAAATGATTCGTGTTTTATTTTTTCGAATAAAAACTTTCGGAAATGAATGTACTTTTGCTTCAACTAGAAAATTCATAATTAAGTCATAAAGTTGAACTGCGTGTTTGATATTTTTCGTCCAATATCATACTAATATTTTCTTTTGGGAAAGTCTTATTAGGTTGTAAACATTTAAGCTAGGCTGAATATAGAAAAAAAAAATCAATGAATTTAAGGATAAATAATAACTTACTCAAAAAATTAAATCTAAATTTTCTGTTAAACTCCAAGAACGCAAAATGTAATGGGTCATGCCAACAAACGTATGAGAAGGTGATATTTTCTTTTATTGTATTCTTTTCTTCTTGTTGTTGTATACTAGTGTATACAACAATGTAAAAAAAAATCAAGGATTGTCGTTGCTTAGCATCTCATTTTCTGGCAAAAAATCTATAAAATATTAAATAAGTAGAATATTGAGAATAATAGAACCCACCTTTACTTTTAATTTTCTCAATACTAAAGAGGACTGTCATCGTTGCGATTCCGGCAATGAGAGCGAGAAAGAGGAAGACTAATATAATAGTTTTGAAATACGTCTTCGAAGTCTCATATTTTCTGGTGTTTTCATTGCTACCAATAGATTGCCATGGCTTTTGTAGCATTGGATAAAAAACAAACATATATATGATATAAATCAGTATAAGAAGAACAAAAAATGATTGAAAACAAATACTGTATATCACTAAATTTTTGCAAAACCTTATTTTCGCGAGATAGTTATTGACTCTTGATAAGCAAGACAAAATTTTCACGAATTGTTGTTATTGCTTTATATAATCTTATGGAATACTATTATACGCGAGAATAAAATTTTCGCGAGCACACAGTCTCGCGTAATTACGCGAAAATAAAGTTCTCGCGAATGAAAAATGATTTACAGAAATTGGCAGAATCTAGAATATTTTTTTAAATATATATTTTAAAAGTATTAAATCAGTTGATAGATTTATTCGAAGTATTACCTGTTCAGATCTATGAACGTCTTCAGAGTCCTTAAAATAAAATGATATATTTTAAATTAATGAATAAAAATGGGATAGAAAAAAGCCAATGAAAATAAAAAAAAATAACTAGATACGTAATCATTCGTTTAATGGGCTGTTGAAATAGAATCATTCAATTTTTTACGTATAAAATCGTTAAAGTATGCAAGCCATGTTCTCCTTTCCTTTATAAAACGTGTACCGGGGTATAAATAATTCCAGTTCTATTTTAATGTAGACATATATTAAGTGTTGAAGAGAAAAGTCAGTGTTCAAATATTATAAAAATCAATACAATGAGCGTATGCATGTGCAATCGTGTGTTGCAATTAAAAAGGATTCGAAACAATTTGTAGATAATTATGTACCATTGCCTCATATGAATGATTGCCACAGGTTTCAAAAGACATATGTTCATACTTGTTTTGTGGCTCTACCTATTAAAAAAAAGGATATGAATTAATTGCATAGTTAATATTCTATTTGGATTTCATTACATCTAGTTTTGCGCAAGTAGAAATATAAGGAACCCCATTATTCTTAACAGTTGATATGAATATAATTTTTTTTCATTTCAATACACAACAAGCGCAAATTAGAATATGTAATATTGAACATCCACGTGTGATGTTCTTTTATCTCTGAAAGCTAGTTTTGTTGTTGAATTGTTAAATCAAAGAAAAAAGACAAAGCATCATTATAAATTATAATAAATATAAATTATATAAAAAAATGATATGGTTTTAAAAGTTACATGATCATTAGATGCATTTTCGTTTCCCCTTGTCATTGTGACCTTATATCCGGTTATTTCTTGTCCTATTCCCTGCAAATTAGAAATTGTTATTTCATATCATATTCAGGAAAGAAAACATAACTTCCCTGTACCAATTCTTAACAATTATCTAGTTAATTACTTGACAGTAATGATGCACATAGCAGATATAGCAGATATTTTTTCAAGTATCTCTTCTATGGCTTTCAGGATCTAAACTAATAAATAGAACATGTAATTGCATATTACATACATTTAGCGATACCCTCAATTCATGTACATATCTCCTCAATAAACTACCATATTTATTTCGTTATGAATATTAGGACACGATTTTACCACCTTGTCTAAACAATTTTTATAAATATAATCTTTTTAAGGACAACCTCGCACTTCATAATATATATAACATACAGATGAATTCGTTGTAAAAGGAATATTTACCTGTCCTTTTCAGTATTATCCTACCTTTACTAGGACACTAATGAACAGACAGAGCTTAATCATATTTACACTAAAACAAAGAGGAAGAAAAAATTACATGAAGGAATGCTTTTCAATTTTTAACAGATCATCGTAGGCCATTTGAACACCCCTTTCATTATTACATGAAAGAAACAGGAAGCACTTAGAAAATTATTTGTATACATTTAAAAGTTTAGACAATCACAAGTTGCATTAGAATGTATTTTTCTAAATCAGTGTTAAAAAAGAAGTAGTTTCAATCAAACTTTTATTTTTAAACCCTGTGGCAAGTTTGACGTTAATTGCTAGCAATAAATTCCGTTGATCTGAAAGATTGAAGTGCGAAGGAAATTATAACTTGATTATTGTTTAATGTAGTAAAATGATTTCTTTTCCGTATTTGCTATCCCCGATGCACCTGAAAAAAATATAGAGAATGAAAGAATATTATGTGCTCCAAAGTATGAGACTAAACCTTTTTCTTAAGAATGTATTAATTTTTATCATTTAGAGAAACATTTAAAGTATACTTTATTCACAATAACAACAAAATTGAAAATTTACAAAATGTCTACAATGTAAATTTTACACATTCAAAGTCTGATTTTGATGTTGTAAATCCAAGCTTCACGTTTTATTCACGTTTTATCTGCACCATAAATAAACAAAAATTCTAAAATAGATATTCTCTTGGAAATGAAATGTTTTGGCCATGTGATCAAATCCTGTGAAGCCCAAACTAAGTAAGCACAAAAATAGTCTTCTGCAGTGAATTTAATGGGGCAGTATGCATGTAGATCAGGGGCTCTGGTTACTCTATATGTCTTCATCTACTACAGGGACCAGTAATATTTACAGTAAGGTTTCATCAGGCTCGTTAAAATGTTATGATTACAATTGAAGTGGGGTCTGTGTTAAGACGCCGTGTCAGTATAATTATTTAAAAAATAAAAAACAAGTTTATGAACTTTAATGGGAATTGAAGTGTGTCGGTCATGTGATCAAATCATGTGAAGGCCGATGGCCTTCTCAGAAGATTTGATCACGTAAAGAGGCACTTTAAAGTAAACAAATTGAGCAACTTAGAATTGAAGTTTGGGACAGAAAATAGAATCTGGTTGCCCGCAGGTATCGCCGAGAATAACAGAAAAGAATAGTAGATAGTTTTTAAATAGTATTCTAAAATTTCAGGAGCTGTTAGCAATCGGGGTGCTGTTCCAGGCTGTGCACTGCCTACCTAGTCCATACAAAAAATATATATAATTCAATCGGAGTACATGTTGAATTAGTTGAATTTTTGCCACGTTAATGAAGGAGCGTTCAACTCATTTGAATAGAGAGGACCATGTTAAATACAGTGAAATATCAGTATCTCGAAGTTGAGGGGACTTGGACATGACTTTGAGATATCCGGGGGTTCGAGATATCCAAAATTATCTTCCAAAGTCGAATCAGTCATTTCCCATTTTTCTTATACATCTTCATGCATAACACTATCCTACAATACCAAATATGTTGTCTTTATGGTAAAGATTCAAGCATATTCGCAATAAATAATAAATTAAAAAACAAAAACAAATTTGGTGTTTTCTTTATCGTGCATAATTGTTAAACATTTTAATATACATGCGTTATTGCATATACAGCGATTTTACATTTTCCAGGCCATGCTTTCTTTGTCAAACGGGATGTATCATTAGCCTTGTAGTTGAGGAACCTTCTCCGTAAGACGAATTTTTTAAAACTTAATTTGATGAATTTTAGAGCAAAATATTATTTAGAGCACTAAAAAAAAAATCGGTATTTAAACTGTGAACTTGAATGAAGGATATGGAAATAACGAACAGTATTCAATCTCAACGTCCATAAAACAAATATACAAAATAAGAGCAGAGCAAACAGGAACCTCCGAAACATCAGAGGTGGGATCAGGTGCCATGGAGGAGTGAGCATCCCCCTGCCGACCGGTCACACCCGCCGTGTGCTCGTTGTCATAATCAGGAAATAACGGAAAAAATCCGTGGTCAATTCAGTGTATAAATAATGGACTAACAATTGGTATGAAAAACGTCAGTCAGCATTTTATTCAATGATAAATTGTATTTGCTGACAAGGTCATTGTATCGACCATAGAATTTACGAAATGATGACTTTAAATGAGACTGTTGATATTCTTGAATACTTTTAATAGTTTTCTTGTATTACATTACCAAGTTCTACTTAGGAACATATAGTTTACGTAGCTAACAGAGGAAATGCTGAAATGGCGATCAAGATTATCTATTTATACGCAGATAAACATGGATGTAATCAATCACTGCACTGTGCATTACGCGCTGCAACTTAACTGTTTAAGTTTATAATGAAAAATCTTTTGTGTTTTATGAATTTACGATTTTGATTATATAAAAAGCATATTATTAAAATAAAATGCATTATCGGTAATACTGTCTGTATTCAATTTCTGACTTGCTGCGAGTGGATAATTGTTTTATCGGTCGTAGACTACACAAACACCCAAGCTGTCATACCAATTACCGTGTCACAGATACTCACCTGAACTTTGGATTAATCAAGATGGTGTGTTCCCGTTTTGCACACATTTGGTAATTAGTATAGAACAACAGGTTGAAGTGTGTTTTGATAACAATTATAGTCTGATTTATGGTTTGGATTTACCTGGATTTACCTGTGAATACCTGATTTAGCTTAAAGTATTCTTCAGAGGTTTAATACAATTTTATACACATATATATATACATATTTTATACTGTTATAAGCATTTTGTTAAAATTCTTTATATAGATATTTGATTTAATTGAATAAATTATTAATATTTGTTTCATATTATTTATTATTAAGTCCAATTTCTTAAAAAAAGAATATGTACTTTTCAATCTTGCTATAATTCTAGATGAATCAAAGATATAACATATAATAAAGAAAATAGTGAATAAAAATTAATTTGAAAAGATGTTATGATAATATAATCAGATAATCAAATACATTAACTTTGTATTTATTCTCTTATTTTTTCACTATAAGTTCATCTTTCACATACTTACTAAGCTAAGTATAGTATAGACTATAGCAATTAAGTAATCATCTCACCTGGTCAAATTCCCATTTTTCACACATTTTTTAATTACCTGTAATTAAATGTGTGCAAAACGGGAACAAACCATAAAGATACCCCCGGTTTGAAAGTGTTAATTAATTGCCACTGGCGAGAAAGTGTGAGGTCACGACGCCAGGTGTGTTCAGTAGACCGAAAATTTACTCCACTTCGAGATAAGCCAGGTAAAGTAGGGCTTTGGACTTTGAATCTACTTCGACATAAGCGGGGTATTCGAGATTACCGTGTTCGAGATATCAGTAGTTTTTTAAATCATATATATAGAGAATACGGCCGGGACCGACGATCGACTTCGACATAAGCGGGGTATTAGAGATATCCCATGTTCGAAATACTGATATTTACCTGTATTCCTATATATTCATTGCAGTTTAACGCTAGTTGAATACTCATATACAGTGTATTTTCTTAGCAGTAATCCGTTAGTTAAATGCTCTGTTGCAAACACTATTGAAATAACGACCACTATTGAAATAATTATATCAATAGTGGTTGAGAGTGCATGTCAATAGCAAACATAGTTAGTAACCACTATTGAAAAACGACCACCATTGAAATAATTATATCAATAGTGGTTGAAAGTGCATTTCAATAGCAAACGTAGTTTGTAACCACTATTGAAATACGACCACTATTGAAATAATTATTTCAATAGTGGGTGAAAGTGCATTTCAATAACAAACATAAGTAATTACCACTATTGAAATACGACCACTATTGAAATAATTATATCAATAGTAGTTAAAAGTGCATTTCAAAAACAAACACAGATATTAACCACTATTGAAATACGATCACTATTGAAATAATTACTTCAATGGTGGTGAGAGTGCATTTCAATATGATGACCATAGGTTTCAACCCCTATTGAAATATGAGCACTATTGAAATAAATATTTGATAGTGGGGAAGAGTGCTTTTCAATATGATTACCATAGGTTTCAACCACTATTGAAATACGGTCAGTATAGAAAGTAAAGTTTCACTGCGTAACTTTTAAATTTTTATCCACAATTTCACAAAAACTGAATTGGGGGTTGAAAAATATAAAGATTAATAATTAAAGTGCATAAATTAATAAGGATTGTTTGAGTGATGCAAAATTTCTTTTTGTTCTAGAAATTCATTATTTGCATCATTTTCAATGAAATCAGACCAAAAAATATATACCAATTTAGGCATCCATATTTTGTTTGTATCATCTGTCCTTAAATGAAGATTTAGATAGTTATTGAAATAGTTATTTCAAAAGTGATTCAAATAATTATATTGATAGTTGCTGATAATGCTTCAAAACTAAATCATAATTTAATCCATATTGAAATCTTTATTTAAAAGTGAACATTATTTTAATAGTGGTGGCAACCTATGTTTGTTATTGAAATGAATCTCACCCACTATTGACATAATTATTTCAATAGTGGTCATGTTTCAATAGTGGTTGAAACCTATGTTCGTTATTGAAATACACTCTCAACCACTATTGAAAAAAAATATTTCAATAGTAGTTGTATTTCAATAGTGGTTACAAACTACCTTTGCTATTAAAATGCACTCTCAACCACTATTGATATAATTATTTCAATAGTGGTCGTATTTCAATAGTGGTTACTAACTGTGTTTGCTATTGAAATCTACTCTCAACCACTATTGATATAATTATTTCAATAGTGGTTGCAACAATTTTCCTCTATTTCCTCTGCAGTTGACCGCTAGTTGAATGCTCCTCTTTTTCCTTTACAGTTGACCACTGGTTGAATACTCCTCTATTCCCTTTGCAGTTGACCACTTGTTGAATACTCCTCTATTTTCCTTGCAGTTGACCATTAGTTTCATACTCCATTGGTGAAAGTAGGTGACATGCTTTATTTGAAAAATTGAGACAGATTTGAAATCTATCAGACAATCAGTGTTCTTGAAAATTAAGGTGGTATGT